AGCATCTCAGGTGGCAAGAAGAGTTACAGCCAGACGCAATTGAGGTTCTGGGTTCAGATCCAGGCCCTGGCACCTCAATTCCTCCAGGAAGAAAACTTTATTAATCTCTGTAGGGATGTATTAAGAATTTGTATTATGTACTTTTAATTTAGCTAGCACAAATGTGTTCATTGCAGAATAGACAATGTTGGTGATATTACAAAAAATACAATAGGTACAGGAGAGGAGCACAGACGGTAAGAGAATGAGCATTACATGCAAGGAGCAGTGCAGAGGGTATGATAGTAGGCAGTATGTGCAGGAAAGGAGTGCTGATGTTTTGACAGTGAGCAGTATGAACATGGTAGGAGTGCAGAGGGTATGACTGAGGCTATTATGATGGGCAGTAGGTTTGGAAGAGTATAAATGGTGAGCAGTATGGGCAGTGAAGTTGTGCAGAGGGTATAAATTGGGGGTATTATGTCAAGCAGTTTGTGCAGTTGAAAAGTGGGTAATTGTGTGACTGGGTGGCAGTATGTTCAGAAGAGAACTGCAGAGCAGTATGTATAGGGGAGGACTGTACAAGGAATGGAGACAGGGCATACAGTTTACAGAATGTGCAAGATATAGTATCAGGAAAGCCATGCTCAAGACCGTGCTCAAAGGAATGCTGGTGTTCAAAGGAATGCCCATGCTCAAAGGAAAGCTCATGCATACAGAAGGGTCCATAGAACTATGCACAACATTAGGACCCTGAGCGCATCTACATGAGCATGTGTACATGCACATGCATGCGAGCATTATCATTCTGCATGAAAATATATGCGTGAGCATGCTTGTTTGATGGATTTTAAGCCTTACAGGTTCCAGGTTCATTGCTGTGTGATCATTGCCTCTTTCTGCTTGTGACCTGATCTTGAGTTTATCCATATCTCGACCCGGCTTGCTGATCCTGCTTGTTCATAAACCTCTGTTGCTGACTCTGGCGTGTGACCCGACCCTACTTCCTGCCTGCTGTTCTTGTACTTCTTCTGCTCACCTGAAGCTGATCTTGGCCTGGCTCTGACTCTGCTTCTGGTTCCTGACTCTATACTCCCACTTCCCTGTTGTTGCTGACCGCTGCCTATCTGACTACGTATCCAAGATCCATGATCTGTCTGTTGCCAGCTAATCTGCTTCAGCTTTGTATCTACTATCAAGTTATTCCGGACCAGATCTCCCACAGTCACCCGTTCCACTCTGTGCCCTGTTATATCCTGTCATCATCTCCAGAGGAACCAGGACAAGAGGTGTATTGGCAGCCCTCTCGTCAACTCGGCCTAGACTAGGTAAGTGACAAAAAGAGTAAAAGAGTGGTGTGGGAGAATAGGTCTTTTTACTGAGAGAACAGGGTTACTTAATTGAGACATCAGAGGTCTATGGGTCTATTACAGGGGTCTCCAAAATTAGGGAGGCCAGAGACTATGGCCAGCGGGAGTGGAAATTTTCCTGGCATTAGTGGGAGTAAACATCACCACATTTGATATTAGGGTGAGGAATAGTGTCCCATTGCTGGCATCATTGGGGGGAATAGTACCCCATTCTTGGTGTCAGTGGGAGGAATATTATTATTATTATTATTATACAGTATTTATAAAGCGCCAATAGTTCGCTCAGCGCTGCCCCATTGATGGTGTCAGTGGGGGAGAAATGGTCCCCCATTGTTGGTGTCAGTTGGCAGAATAGTGTTTCGTATCAGTGGGAGGAATAGTGCCTCAAGGGCCAGATAAAGGCAAGCAAAGGGCTGCAGTTTGGAGACCACTGGTCTATTAGAACCCTGATGCATGCTCTTTGTCCTTTAGATTAAGATCAGGGACAGAAAGTGCATGCTCAGGCTGTTACTCTCATGAGCCATGAGAATGTAAAGTTGCCTATGTGCAAGGAGCTTACAGTACTTGTGGCAGGGAACAAGACGTTCTTCTGCAAAGAAGAGATGGGAGCAGACCACTGGGTGGAAGTGAGACAGTGAGATGGGAATATACACACTGAAAGTGTAAAGTTGATTAGGTACTTAATATCTCCATCACTATTTTATTTTTTATACAATACAGGATAAATTATAGAAAAGTTAGATCTGTGTACTGGATGATTCATGTCACTGCTGACATAGTGGTATTCTGGGAAGTTATTAAAGCATGTGCTGGGGGCAAGACATAGCAGAAAGACCAATAGGTTTACTGGGACTACTAGAGCATGTTCTTTTCAGCTAAATTCAAGGCTGATGCCGGAATCCCAAAATTAAAACAGAGCACACACAATCTACATTTATAGAATATACAGTGCCTTGAAAAAGTATTCATAACCCTTGAAAATTTTCCACATTTTGTCATGTTACAACCAAAAATGTAAATGTATTTTATTGGGATTTTATGTTTTATGGAAAACAGAAAAGTGGAACCATAATGCTGGTGTTTTCTGTTTCCCATAATACATATTATATGAGAGCGTCAGCTGGAGGAGTATATACTGTGGCAGTTCCGGGAGAGGAGCTGGAGGAAGACCACACAAGGGTGTACACAAGTCTGCCCACATATTGAGCGCATAATGACCTATTGATGAGGTCATAAAGTGAGGTGAGCAGCAGGGGCCATTCTGAACATTTGGAAAATATGGGCACTGCCCAAGGGCCCGGGGTCAGTAGGGGGCCCCATGAGATGTCCCTAATACCTTTTTCATAGGCTTTTTTGAGTTTGGGCAAGGACACAGGGGCCCCATGATCCCCTATTGCCCGGAGGCCCCATGAGTTGTCAGTCGGCCCCTGGTGAGCAGGTTTTTCACCTAATGGTGGTGGCACGGTTTGGAACTGAAGAAGAGAGATTTTTCTTATACACATTGCACAGTGTATTAAATAAGAGACTTTTTCAAGGGACTTTAATTATTATTTAATATTTATTTTTTATATGAGATATTAGTCTATTGCACTGCACTTTATTATTATTCATTTTGGAACAGGTGTTGTGAAGTCACTAACAATGTTTTAGCAGCAACTACTTACATAGTTACATAGTTAGTCTGGCTGAAAAAAGACAAAAGTCCATCCAGTTCAACCATTAAAAAAAAAGAAAGTTATAATCCTACACCCACAGTTGATCCAGAGGAAGGCAAAAAAAAACCCCCAGCAAAGCATGATCTAATTTGCTCCTGCAAGGGAAAAAATTCCTTCCTGATCCCCCGAGAGGCAATCGGATATTCACTGGATCAACTTTACCTATAAATGTTTGTATCCAGTTATATTCTGTGTATCCAAGAAAGAATCTAGGCCTTTTTTGAAGTAATCCACTGAGCTGGCCAGAACCAACTTGAGGGAGTCTATTCCACATTTTCACAGCTCTCACTGTGAAGAAACCTTTCCGTGTTTGGAGATTAAATTTCTTTTCCTCCAGACGTAAACAGTTCCCCCTTGTCCTCTGTGATGACCTCAGGGTGAATAGTGCTACACCGAGTTCACTATATGAATCACTGATGTATTTATATATGTTGATCATATCCCCCCTTAATCTCCTCTTCTCAAGAGAGGATACATTTTGTTCCTCTAATCTTTCCTCATAGCTGAGCTCCTCCATGCCTCTTATCAGTTTGGTTGTCCTTCTCTGTACTTTCTCCAGTTCCCCAATGTTCTTTTTTTGAATTGGTGTCATGGTCAATTACATCATCTGGTAGGCCCTGCCCCTTTGTTTATATCAGCTCTCATCTGACCTGACCAGACATGTTGGCGGTCAGCTGTTTCTTTTTTTTCTTTCAGAGGGACAGCAGGCGCTGTAGAGATTTGTGGTAATGTTTACTAAATAAAGGTGTCAGATTTAAGAGCACCATTTTTGAAATGCCCGAGGTGGGCCATTTGCCTGTTACATGACACCATTGTCAATCACTCCACAGATAAAACTTGTACAACATGGCAGGTGACACACACTGGAACAAAAGCTGTTTTCTCAGTATTTATCCTGCAGTTCACAGTTTTTTTTAATCTTTGCTGACAAGATATTTGTCAATAACCAGGCAAACCTTTGTTATGTAGGGAAATTACCATAGCGAATGCATCTTTTGGGAAAGAATGTTATCTTAAACCCAGCTTAGGCACTTTGTTCTTACAAAATCCTAAGAGAGATTATGCTGTTTATGTTGGTTTACACCAACATGACATTTAGGTTGTTACATTGCTCTAATTTAATTAACTAAATAGGTCACTTGTCACCTGGTTCTTCTGCAAGCACTTTCCTTTCCAAGCTGATTGTTAGATGCTTTATGAGCAATGCTTGCGCCACATGACAAGTGACACACTCGGGAACAACAGTTGCACTGGTCGGTGATGGGACTTGTGAATATGGGACTCAAAAATACATTGTTGGGAGATGTAGTGCTATGTGCTGCCTCAAAGGCTGGAAGGTGATTATTTTATCAAGTTATTATGTGATGCTGGTTACAATGTCTTAAGTGGGTCACTTGTCACTAGGGTTGCCACCTCATTCCTTTAAAAGTGAACACATATTAATTACACAGGTTCTGTGGCTGAATAAGGTGGTAATTAAACTCACTTGTTGCCTTATCTGCATTAAATTAGCCTCAGCACCTGTGTAATTAATATGTGTTCGGGTTGAAAGGGATAAAGTGGCAATTCTACTTGTCACCTTATGCTTTAGAGCAGGGTTCCTCAAACTTTTTAAACAGGCGGCCAGTTCACTGTCCTTCAGACCGTTGGAGGGCCGGACTATAGTTTAAAAAAAGAAAAACGGAACAAATGTGGACACAGTACATGAGATGACCAGAGACTGCGGACATAGTACAGGAGATGACCAGAGACTGCTGACATAGAACATGATATGACCAGAGACTGCAGACATAGTACATGAGATGACCAGAGACTGCTGACATACTACAGGAGATGACCAGAGACAACGGACATAGTACAGGAGATGACCAGAGACTGCTGACACAGTACATGAGATGACCAGAGACTGCGGACACAGTATAGGAGATGGCCAGAGACTGCTGACACAGTACAGGAGATGACCAGAGACTGCGGACACAGTATAGGAGATGGCCAGAGACTGCTGACACAGTACAGGAGATGACCAGAGACTGCGGACACAGTACATGAGATGACCAGAGACTGCGGACACAGCACAGGAGATGACCAGAGACTGCTGACACAGTACAGGAGATGACCAGAGACTGCGGACACAGTACATGAGATGACCAGAGACTGCGGACATAGTACAGGAGATGACCAGAGACTGCTGACATAGTACAGGAAATGACCAGAGACTGCAGACAGTACAGGAGATGACCAGAGACTGCGGACATAGTACATGAGATGACCAGAGACTGTTGACATAGTACAGGAGATGACCAGAGACTGCGGACATAGTACATGAGATGACCAGAGACTGCGGACATAGTACATGAGATGACCAGAGACTGCAGGCATAGTACATGAGATGACCAGAGACTGTTGACATAGTACAGGAGATGACCAGAGACTGCAGACATAGTACATGAGATGACCAGAGACTGCGGACATAGTACAGGAGATGGTGCCCCATCATTGGTGTCAGGGGGAGGAATAGTGCCCCATCATTGCTATCAGTAGGATGAAGTGCCCCATCATTGGTGTCAGTGGGAGGAATCGTGCCCCATTATTGTTGTCAGTGGGACAAATCGTGCCCCATCATTGGTGTCAGTGGGAGGAATCGTGCCCCATCATTGGTGTCAGTGGGAGGAATCGTGCCCCATCATTGGTGTCAGGGGGAGGAATCGTGTCCCATCATTGGTGTCAGGGGGAGGAATAGTACCCCATCATTGGTGTCAGGGGGAGGAATAGTGCCCCATCATTGGTATCAGTGGGAGGAATAGTGCCCCATCATTGGTATCAGTGGGAGGAATAGTGTCCCATCATTGGTGTCAGTGGGAGGAATAGTGCCCCATCATTGGTGTCAGTGGGAGGCCTGGAGGCATAGTGCCCCATCATTGGTGTCAGTGGGAGGAAAAGTGCCCCCTCATTGGTGTCAGTGACACCAATGAGGAGGCACTATTCCTCCCACACTGACACTAATGATGGGGCACTATTACTCCCACTGACACCAATTATACTTACATGCCGTGCCCACCCCCTGAAAAGTGCCGTCTTAGGAAAATGCCTTGTTTGCCTTGTGGCAAATATGCCCCTGGGACAAGTAAGGGGCAGTGGGAAAGGAGGAGCGCAGTGGGACAAGTGAGGGGCAGTGGAACAGGGGGCATGGGACAGTATCGGGGCAGCTGGACAGGAGGAGCGCAGAGGGACAGGTGAGGGGCAGATGGACAGGAGGAGCACAGAGGGACAGGTGAGGGGCAGATGGACAGGAGGAGCACAGAGGGACAGGTGAAGGGCAGATCGACAGGAGGAGCACAGAGGGACAGGTGGGGGGCAGTGGGGACAGATGGGTGGTAGTGGGATAATGTGGAGGACAGGAGGGGGAAGTGGAACAGGTGTGGGGCAGGGTGACATGTGGGGGCAGGGGGCAGTGTGATGGATGGGGGGCAATAGGACGGGGGAGGGAAGTAGAACAGGTGGGGGGCAGTGTATTAGGGGACAGTGAGACAGGACCAAGGGAGCACCAGTCCTCCAAGCACTTACCTGTCCAGCAGCTGCTCCTCCAGATGGTGTCAGGTTCATTCCAGGATGGGTGCCTGTGTCCCTTCTCCCCCTCGATCTCTGGCGGTGGCTCCACAGGAGCGGGCCGGGTCCGCCCCCCTGACCTCATCCTCTTCTGCTTCCTCCTTCTGGCCTTCACCTGGATACTGGCACACTGACAGCGGGCCCTGCCCCTCATGCACTCCGGGGATCCGCCCACCACTCCGCTCTCCTGTGCAGCCGGTCCCTCAGCCATGGCGGCCCTGCCCCTGTATCTTTCCCACGGAAGTGCCCCTTCCGTGGAAAAAGGGGGGGCGGCAAAAACGCCCCTGTTACCTTGCCTCACGGCGGGCCAGATAAATGTCCTCGGCGGCCCGCATGTGGCCTGTGGGCCGTAGTTTGAGGACCCCTACTTTAGAGGCTATGATCAAATCTCTCCATTTATACTAACATGCATTATTTAGTTTTCTTTTTTGTGCATTTTACATGCATTTTCATTCACTGTGCATTTTTGTTGTTAACCAATGAAGATGATTTTCCTGTAGTGACATCATAAGGGAAAGTGCTTCTTGGTTTTCAGTGTATATACAGTAGTTGAAGCATGGCTGATTTTACACCCTTGTTTGCAACTGCACCAGCAACTGTCACAGTGCAGTAGATTTACTAAAACTGGTACACTCAGAACCTGGTGCAGCTGTGCTTGGTAGCCTATCAGCCTCTTATTTCAACTTGTTCAATTAAGCTTTTGGCAATAAAACCTGGAAGCTGATTGGTTTCTATGCAGACCTGCACCAGATTTTGCACTCTCCAGTTTTAGTAAAAGCCCCCAGTCTTCTTTTTGTCTGAGCACCTGGCAGATGAATTGCAGCTTAGCACATACCAGGTATCCAGGGAAGGTGCTTGTAACCATGGGATGACAAGCTGCCATGTACTCACCCACAACAAGCTGAAAATGCACAAAAAACACACAAAAATGCACAGTAGAGAGCCATAATCCACAGAGTAAACAGATTTTTTTTTTCATTGGGTGCTGTAGTTACTAAAAACAATGGCGTTGTTTCATAGGTAAGAGACACAAAAGGGTTAATTTGCTAAAGTAAAATAGGCTGTTTACTTTGCAAGGGAATTTTTCCTTTGCTTAGTGAATGTGGTAAAAACTCAGTTTACAATGAAAACCCAATCACATACAAGGAAAAAAAAAAATAGTATATTTACTTGCATATGATTGCATGATAGATGTCAGTACTGCGTCACTACATTTAATAAATTAAAGGAACACTTCCTTATAACATTTTATTTGACATTAGTAAATCATCCCCAAAGTGTCACTATGTCCTGGTCAAATGTTCAGGCTCGGAGACCAGTAGCTATAGCAGTAGAGAGGCTCCCACCAACCAGTAGGGTAGGCATACACACAGGTCACCCTGGAGGATGATGCGGGCTCAGTTGAGGTGCAGGACCTAAGGACTAACTGGCGTTCACCAGAGCTCCTGATGGTGGAGCCAAAGGTTGGTAACAAGTGGTTGAGGTTGGAAACAAGCAGAAGGGTAGTCAATGAACAAACCAAAGGTCAGTAACAGGTGGTAGTGAAGATAAAGACATCTGCAGGTATGCAAAGGAGCAAGATATTGTCTGGGAGAGAGCACAATAATCTGGCAACGGGAAGTGCAAAGACAGGGCTTACACCAAGAAGTGTATGGGAGGAACACAGAGTTCAAGTCTCACAAGAAACAAAATACAAGGCAAGATTGTTCTAAGACATCATAGAGCTATACAGCATGCCAGGTGGCACAGCAAGAAGAGCTACAACCAGACACCACAGAGCTCACTGGTTCAAATCCAGACCCTGACACACTAGCACACCGAGGGTTTGCATAATAGGAGTTTTTATTTAATCATATAGAAAGGCACATGTGTTCAAAGTTCAATTCAATGGCTCACTTATTCGCAAGGTACACATTATAAATATGTTAATGTAACTGTAAAATATGCAAGTATTTTTGTTTATACAACATATGTATATCTTCCTTTTTGTCTATTTATTAAAAAATAAACTTGGGCCGCATTCCCACCAGTGAGTTTTAATGCATTTATAGTAAGTCTAAAAGAAATATAAGTATTGCGTTACAAAAAAAAAATAACATTTTACATTTTTTTAGTCTGGAAAATTTGAATATTTATTATTTTCGGACAGCAGATAGGATGTTAGGCTAAATTTCACATGTTTATTAGACAAATGTTAACTGCTTTTCTGAAAAAAAAAGTCTGTTCTTACAAAGCTCAGTAGCTGAAGCTTTGTTTACACACATAGCCGAATAAGGGCCTTTGCCGATTGGTTTTGGGCCTGTGTTGAAGGCATCCATTTGCCATCGGTTTCAAATGCTTTTGAGATAATTATGTATCAGTTGACAAGTGCATTTGACCTGCGGTTGACCTCCTTCTACCTGCATTTGTCCTGCTTCAAGTTGGTTTTGCATTCCCATAAACATTTATGCAAATGTAAAACATGTACAAAAGCTCATCAACATAACTCCTAAGTAATAGGGTGGAATCATCTCTCTCTTGCCTCCTTCTGCTCCGTACACCTCTGAGCTTTAGAGAGACAATTTTAAAAGAACTATTGCTGAGGTTTCTATTGAGGAAACCTATAAAGCACTATGAAAATCAGTGCCATGGGTGCACAAAATAAAGTATAGATATAAAAATAGCAAAAAAAAAATATAAAAATAGTTTAACAATATATAAAAACTTAAGAAAAACAGAAATGCAGTTGCTCCTGAAGATGTCTTTCTTTTGCTTTCCTTTTTAGCTAATTTTAACAATTATGTCATAAATGAGCACTTTTCTTAATTACTGCTTTATAGACCTAGATATATGTTAACATTTTAGTCATGAGGAAATGATGAGGTACTTGTTTAAGTATGTATTATAAGTGGTTAGAACCATATGAAATATGCATTAAATGTAATAGGTGACAGGAATAAGCTGATTGCAACTAATTACTGAGAATAAATGAATGAATGCTGCTAGTGAACATCCTAACCAGGGGAAATTAAAACTATAAACACATTTCTTGGCTTTATTTGGTAACAAGAGAACTATTATATCTTAATATAAATTAACACATGAAGGCACATCTCCACAATAAAGACATAATAGCAACTATTTTTTTGCTTTTGCTTCTTCCAGTTAAAATGTTTAACTCTAGCATTTAATGATTTATCACTAGTAATGTGTAGCAGTTTGCTTTTTCGATCACGTATTGCATTTAAATTACTCTGTCCTAAAAAAAAAAAAAAAAAATCTGTTGCAGGTATAAAATACAGGCAATTGATGCAGCCTCCTGAATCCATCTGTCACTGCCGAATCCTGGACAAAGCTTTAGCATGACTTACATGTGTTACAGTTGGCCCGCCTCTTCCTGCTTCCTGCAAATTCCTATGGGCCAGTGAGGCCGCCCATCATAACAAAGGAGAAATTGAAATGTGTGGGGGCAGGGCAAACTCCAAAACTGGAAGTATTAGAGCAGGGGTCTCCAAACTTTTTAAATAAGGGGCCAGTTTATTGTCCTTCAGACTCTAAGAGGGCAGGAATGTGGCCAGCGTGAGTGTAAATTTTCCTGGCATCAGTAAACATCGCCACATATGCACCACATGGTATAATTGGGAGGAATAGTGCCCCATTGTTGGCGTCAGTTGGAGAAATGGTGCCCCATTGTTGTCAGTAGGAAGAATAGTGATTCGTATCAGTGGAAGGAAGGGCCAGATAAAGGCATGCAAATGGCCGCATCTGGCCCCTGGGCCACAGTTTGAGGACCACTGTATTAGAGCATGCCTGAAGTTCAGCTGTGACAGTAAGGTGTCTGCACTTTATATCTACAGCTTTTTTCCCATTACAGAATCTATTTAAT